CTTAGAGGGGCGGCCACTGAAAAGCCCTGGGGCTCTGGGCTTTGCTCTCTGCCTGCCTGCTCCCCATCCACCCACCCCCCCTTTCTCCAAGCTCTCCTCATCTCTCTTCCACCCAAAGGCCTCAAAGCCCTCAGCCCAGTAACGGAGCCAACCAACCTAGAGACCCAGCTCCAGCCCCACCTCCTCCAGGAAGCCCTACCTGATTGAACCCCTCTCCTCTCCTTGCTGCAAAGCAGGAGGGCCAGTCAGGGAGATGGACAATGGTGAACCCAAGCAGAGTCCCTCCCCTCAAGTCGCTCACCTGCCCCCGCCAACCCCTCCCACCCCAGGGGCAAGCCCCATGACCCAGGCAATGGCATTACCAGGTGAAAAGGGCAAAGGTTGGAGGTGGGGTGGCACAGAAGACCCACTCAGCCATGGGGTCAGTGAGGCTCCCTCTAGGAGACCCGGGGATGAGGTAGTTGGGCCTGCCCAGGGGCAAGACCATCCCTGGCCAAGGGGACAGAGAATCAAGGCCAGAGGTTACAGCAATTCCGCTCCCAGGCATCTACCCGAGGGAAATGAAAACATGTGGCCACACAAACGCTTGTCCGTGAACGTTCATTGCAGCCGGATTCAGAATAGCCAAAACGTGGACACGACTCAAATGCCCACCAACCGAGGAAGGGCTAAACATCGGAGGCCCAGCCATCTCATGGAGTGTGACTCAGCCAGAGAGGGGTCTGATGTCCATGCCATATGGATGCACTCTGAAGACGTAAGTGAAAGAAGCCAGTTACAGAAGACCACAGACGCATGATTCCACGTCTGAAATGCCCGCCCTAGGCCCGTCCACAGAGACGACAAGCAGACGAGCGGGCGCCTGGGGCTGGCGGGGAGCGTGGGGAGTGATTGCTGCTGGTCTGAGGTTTCTTGGGGGATGATTAAAAATGTTCTAAAATCTGATCCTAGTGGCGGCTGCACAGAAATGGAGGTATTCTCGAGACCAGTGACTTGGATACTTTCAAGGGGTGCCTGCTACCCCGCCTGGGAGTCACATCTCAATAAAGCTGTGCGAACCAATGTCGGGGGTCAGGAGAGCCCGGAGGTCAGCCACTTAAGTCCAAGTGCCCAGGAGAGTGGACTTACACTGTCCTCTCTTCACACGTGACACAAGGCCGCTACGGCCAGAGGTCGGAGGCAGTCTGTCCTGACCCTGGTGGAGGCCCCTCTGCAGAAGCAGGCGGCCTGAATTTCCCTAAATAGGCCTATCTCCGGGCGTGTGTGTGTGTGTGTGTGTGTGTGTGTGTGTGTGAAGCACCTGCCGTCTGGGTATTTGTGTCCACGTTCCAGGCGGTCCGGACAAACAGGCCAGGATAACAGGGCTGCCTGTACACACACTTCAGTGCGCTGCGGGTGTGGGGGAGGGGGAAGGATGGAGGGCGACACGGTATTTATCACACATCACCCCGAGCCTTAGCATCTCTCACGGCTCCGGAGGCCGCCTGGGCTCTGCGAGGGCAGTTCTCGTTCAGGTTTGCTCGCACGGCTGACGCCAGAAGATGACAGGGGCTGGAGCTCTCTGGAAGGTTTTCTCACACGTCTGGCCATCGGGGCTGCTATCAGCTGGGACCACAGCTGGAATTGCCGACCCGGTCAGCCCCAGCCTGGCCCTGGAGATCTGTGTGGGGGGCGGGGGGTAGGGTGGTGGACTGGGGGTTCAGGAGACTGACACTCCCAATCCAGTGACTGGACCTGGGGACCCCACTGGGCTTTTGTTCTCTTCTGAAGGCTCCTCTGCTGTGACTTTCTCCTGTGGGCAGAGGTCGGCTCCTGGGCAGCCAGGCCGGGCTCAGCCCGTGTGGGATAAGGAACAAGGCGTGGCTGCCAAAGGCCACGTGAGGAAGGACTCGAGCTCCCAGGGCTGGGAGACACATGGGTGGGGGCAGGGATGCAAGCACAACCGCTGGCCCGGAAACTTCCTCAGCTCAGCCCAGCCCCGGGAAGAGCTTTACCAAACCAGCCACTGCGAGGTCCTTTCCCAGAAGCTCCGGATGTGTCCCAAGGGTGTGTCCAGCTGGGGCTGGGGCCGCCACCGGAGGCCTGGCCTTAGCCATTCAGGGGTGGGGCTGGGGCAGAAGCAGGGCCTGGAAGGGTGCACAGCCCTCCCACCTTGCCCAGCACCCTGCTCTCTGATCACACAGACCCACAAACCAGTTCAATCCCCAGCCTGGACCACCCCAACATCCTCCTTTCCTTCCCGCTCCAGGGTTGGAACCTGAGCTCCACTGAATACTGGCTGTGTGACCTTGGGCAGGTCTGGCTCCTCTCTGAGCTCGTCTGTGAAACAGGGAGATTGTTGCTGAAATTGTGGGGAAGGGTCGAGGCTAGAGGAAACCACAGATGGCGAAGCCCTGCACAGCTCTAACCCGGCGAGGCAGGCGACAGGAGTCAGACCCTCCCCGAGGGAGTGCGGGGTGAGCCGGAAGGTCGGCTTTGAGCTGGAGAAAGTGGGTCCTTGTGCCCTGTCGCATTTTGCTCATCTCCTCACTGGACAGATGAGAAGCTGGGGCTGCACCTGTGGGAGTAAGAGCCTCAACGTTTGAAAGTTAAGAGAGTAGATCCTAAGACTTTTCATCTCAAGGAAAAAAACATGTTTCCTTTTATGTCTGTGTCTAGGTGAGATGATGGATGTCTGTTGTAGGCAGTTGGACAGATATGAGCAGAGAAAGAACATGTACAGAAGGTCACCAGGGCAGAAAGCTAACGGCAAATGTGAGACGGGACCTTGACCCTAAGCTGACCTTTCCTCCCTTAGCCCATCACCGTTCCTCCCTGGAAATAACATTTAGGCTGCAGCTGTATTTCAGCTCCGGGCCCAGAGAAGCAACAAAACCAGCCAGGCCCTGGTGCCGGCCAATCAGTCAGCGGAGACCACCACCCTGAAAGGACTCACCTGGAAAACTGCTGAATGTTCTACTGAGGCCTCCCCGCTGCCGACAACATGTCGATTAAACTTCTTGTGAGAATCATTTCACAATGCACAGACGGCAAACCGCTATCGGCAGCTAGACCACGCAAGCAGAGCCAGGACGCTGGGCCAGGTCCAGAAGGTCACCGAGATGGAAAGGCCCAGAGATAACATCTGAGCCTCAGTTGTCTTTTAGCTCCAGTCCCAGGTAAGCAACCAAACCAGCCACGGCTGACCTAGGACCAGCTGCATCGAATAACGACCCCTGCCCTGGTGCCGCCAATCAATCCTCGGGCAGGAGGATCTCCTCCCCAAAATGTAAATCGACTCCCCAATAACACTAAGATTTATAACACAGCTGGTCTCTGCCAGGTTGCAAGCCTACTCGGACCGAGGGAAGACCACCTCTAGACGCCATCGCCACCCCCTTCCATGCCCAGGCCTCACTCAGAGTTTCTGTTTAGTATGATGAAAAGGTAGAGCAAGGATCCCTTGGCTCTGAAGAAAAATATCACCCTCTCTCAGCCGGAAGCAACTGCAGAAGAGGCCCTGCACCCCTTTTCTCAGAAAGATTTCAGAGCCAAGATCCTTGAGGGGGGGGGATGCTGTAGGCAGTAAGACAGACTTGAGCAGAGCAAGGACGATGGGCCAGGTGCAGGTCACAAGGGCAGAAGGCAAAGGACAAATGTAGGGGGCTCGAAGTTTCCAGGTAAACTTCTTGGATCTTCGATCTGCCCAGCCCGTTTCCCATGACTAGGCTGGTGGCCTCACTTGGTGCCCGGTGTGCCCTGACCCTGACCCCATTAGGGTGTCGCTGCACAGGGTGTGTTTGGCACTCGGCCAGAGGACTTTCTCCTCACACTCAGCAGGGGGGCAAGGACAATGTGGAGCGTGGCAAAGATCCGGGCTGAGCCTCCAGGTGAGCCACTACCAGGCTGGGGGCAGCCCCCCACATTCAACTCCCTTCTAGGTCTAATTGGAAAGAAGCGATCTCAGAAACCTGGGCCAGCCTGCCCTCTAGTGGTGCCCAGCCGTAACTGCACTTTCCTTGCCTGCTTTTCACAATGCGTTGCCGCTTTTGAGGAAGGCTCCTGAGATCCACAGGTGACCGGGAGGGGGCGCTGTTCTCCTATCATTTCAAGCATCTCTTCCTCTCACATGATCCTGAACCCGAAAAGGGGGATGCTACTAGCATGTAAGCTACCTCTTCATACTAGGGACTTTGCATACCTTGCTTCCCTGACCCCTCCCAAAGTCCCGGGGGTCAGGGACTATCACTAACTTCTGTACAGAAATAGCCCCTGGCTTCGGGGTCATACCATAGTCCATTCTATGCCCATCCGACTTTCAAAGACATGTTTCTAATGTACCACCTGCCTGTGGGAACCCTCTAAGCCAGAAGTTTCCCGGCTTTAACAAGAACCAGGCAAGCAGCAAACGGGAGGAAGGGTCATTGGAGAGTGGATGGGACTGCAGAGAACGGGGGGATATGTGCCACATCTAAAGGAGTGCTCAGTGGTTAGAGCACCGCCCTGCGCATCAGAAGGTCATGAGTTCAATCCCCGGTCCAGGGCACATACCTGAGTTGCAGGTTAGACCTCCCCCACCACTTCGTTATCACCCGACCCCACCCCACCCCTGTCGGGGCATGTGCAGGAGGCAACCAATTTTCCTCTCTCGCTCTCTCCTTTGGTGAGAATGCTGGACTAGCCCAACTAAGACAAGTTGAAAGTCTGCATTTTGATATACAAGTTCCCGACTCTAAATATTGGCAATGAATTCAGAAAAGAGTTTAAACAGAATGCAAGCCAAACAAAGAAGGTTGCTGACACGTGGAGCTTCTTTAACACCCTCGCGGGGCAGGTGAGGTCTGGGGAGGAGGCGACTTGCCCACGATCCTATGACCACATGCAGACAGCACAGACTTGACCCCTGACTCCCGGGCCAGGGCTCGTCCCCGTGGGCTCCTCTGCTCTCCGGCCCCGGGGCAGGGGCTGAGCCACTCTGACTTCGGGGAGGCGCTGGGACACATCCGACTCAGACTAGAGGCTGGGAAACCATCACATTTATTGGTCACATGTGCCTTCGAGGGTAGCAGGGCCATCCTGGCGCCCTCTTGGGAGTTACAGGAACACTGTGTAAGCACATGCGGCCCCTGGGAGCTCACCGGGTCCCGCTGAGGTAGTGGCTGGACCCCACGGCCTTGCCTCATTAGCTCAGACCTGGCTTTGTCCCTCACACCGGACACTGGGCCCCCTCCATCCACAGGTCAAGCTGGCTCCGCCTGGACCTGGCCCACAGTCCTCGCAGGTCAGCACTTAAGGGGACGGGTCACCAGTTTACTGATGGGGGAACTGAGGCTCATCCTGAAGACTCGTGGCTGAGCCCCTAGCTTGGTTCATGGGGCTGGTCAGTGCTCAGACACTCCCCTCGCCCCAGTCCCAAGTGGAAGACGGGCCGTGGCTTAGCTGCTCTGGAAGTGCAATCTATAAATACACACCTGGTTTGTAAAAGTAATAAATTAGCTCTTGGACCAGCCTGCGGGCATCGGGCCAACCACGTGTCCTATGACATGGACATTGGTCATGTGTCTTCTACAAACCACCAATTATGTGTCCTATCATGTGTGGGGCTAGGACCCCTGACCACTGACCCACAGGCCACCCTGCCGGTTCCATGCAATGTCACATGGAACTCTGCCACGTGTGACCTCCTGTGTCATGCATCACATCACGACACCCTCATGAGGCCACATGTCTCTCCCGGTCATGCATGTCACGTGTGATGCCAGGTAGTCCATTGGCCACACGAGGCTCCTGCTTCTCACCAAGTCCTCCCTGAAGACTGGAGCAGGACACACGTGTCCCTCCCTTCTGGGGCAGGGGACGGGGGCGCCCGCTGAGGCTCTTCCTGAGCCTCCATCCAGGCGGGCGCATGTTGGCATCGCTGGGCTGGATCCAAAGGGTGTGAGGGGGCCATCAAGTCCCCCGAGGGGCCTGCCGCTCGTTGGGGAAGAAGGAGAAGTCCAGCCGGGGCTCCTGGCTCTGCAGACGCTGGGCCGCGTCCGGGGGGACGTGGTTATTCCAGAGGCTGCGGGACACAGAGACGGGCACTCAACACCGTCCTCTCTCTCTGCCCTCCGTCCGACCCGCAGACGGGAGAGCGCGGCCTCAGGGGGAGTTGTGTCCAGAGACGCCGGGCAGAGGCAGGTGTTAGACCCGCAGGGCCCCCAGGGAGAAGGTGCTTGCCACCCCCACCCCGACTTCCACTCTGAGAGCTGGAGATCCCGGCTCCTGTGACACCCGTCAGGCAAGGGAAAGCTCCCCTTTCTGTTGTTAATCCTCACCCGAGGGCATCTTTCCATTGACTTTTAGGGAAGGGAAGGGAGGGGGAGAGACAGAGGGAGGAACCTCTACGTGAGAGACACATCGGCTGGTGGCCTCCCGCACGTGCCCTGACCAGGGCCAGGGGTCAATCTTGCACCCGAGGTGCGTGCCCTGGACCGGAACCGAGCCCACCCTTCAGTCCTCAGGCTGAGGCTCTGTCCACGGAGCCCGACTGGCTAGGGTTCAAGCTCCCTTCCTAAAGACACTTTACCTGCATTGTCTGAAATGCTCACGACCTATTGGTTTTCGTAGGACAAAACGCTGCACTGCTGTCTGCTAGCTGTTCAGCGTGCCCGCGGGGTGCATGGAGCCTGAGAGGCGAGGCCCCTGCTCAGGGCACAGCCTGCACACCCGGACGCGGTGCCTCTGGTTAAAGCCCCCGCAGTGAGTGCTGACCATGAGCCAGAGCTGTGCTCAGTGCCCTATCTCACCATCGGGTCCCCCAGCAGCCCCGCCGTAAAAGCGATCATAGCCCCATCGTGTAGGTGCGGGGGCAGCTGGGGGAGGTTGAATCACTGATGCAGTCGCACAAGTGGGGACGGCGGAGATGGAACCTGACAGGGTTACTGGCTACCAGCTTCTTGGTGGAGTGGCCAAGTCTCCCTGACAATCCCAGCCGGGTCCCCTTACACTGGGGGGTCGGTGAGGCCTCCCACCACCGTCCTGGCCCCAGCGAGTCCGTTACCGGATGACTTGGACGCCAGAGCCCCGCGCCAGCCCTGCAGCCAGGAGCCAGGCTCCGTCCGCTGTGATCCGATTCTTCTCCAGACTTCCCGAGGCACAGCGGAGGAAGGGGAGAGACAGACGGGCAAGGGTCAAAGGTCAATGGTCAAAGATGAGGGGTCAAGAGTCAAAGGTCAGGGGTCCAGGGTCAGTGGTTAAGGATCTAGGGTCAAGGGACTAGGGTTAAGGTTATGGTTGTTAGGGCTGTTGAGGGTTATGGCCAAAGGTCAGGTGCCAAAGGTCAGGAGTCACAGGTCAAATGTCAGGGTCACTGGTCAAAGTTCAGGGGGTCAAGGTCAAAGATCAATGGTTAGAGGGTCAAAGGTCAGTGGTCAGGGGTCAAGGATCTAGCATCAAGGAACTAGGGCAGCCGTGGGCAAACTACAGCCCACGGGCCGGATCCGGCCTGTTTGAAATGAATAAAACTAAAAAAAAAAAAAGACCGTACCCTTTTATGTAATGATGTTTACTTTGAATTTATATTAGTTCACACAAACACTCCATCCATGCTTTTGTTCCGGCCCTCCGGTCCAGTTTAAGAAGCCATTGTGGCCCTCGAGTCAAAAAGTTTGCCCACGGCTGGACTAGGGTCTACAGTTAGGATTAGGGTTGTTAGGGCTGTCAAGTGTTAGGGTCAAGGGTCAGGAGTAAAAGTCAGGGGTCAAAGGCCAAGGGTCAAAGTCTAAAGGTCAGGTGGTCAATGGTCAGGGGTCAAAGGTGGGGTGAGGGTAAGGTCTAAGGGCTAAGCATTAAGGGTTAAGGGATTAGGGCTTAGGGTCTAGGGGTTGGGTTAGGCTTAGGGCTAGGCAAGGAGGGCTTCCTGGAGGCAGAGGCCTGATCCATGGCCTCTGGGCTCACCAAGGACGGAGGTCCCCTCTGGCCCACCCGCCCCCTGGCTTCCCAGGATGGGCCCCTCTTACTCCACACTCTTCAGCCGCTGCATCCGAGGCAGGACCTGGGCCAGTTCGGCAGCCGCCTCGTCCCCAAGCAGGTTCCAGGACAACCTGCAGGACAGGGGCCCCGGTCGAATATTTTATTATAATAATTTTGAGAGAGAGAGACAGAGAGAGAGAGAGAGAGAGAGAGAGAGAGAGAGAAACGTCAATACGAGAGCAAGACATCCATTGGCTGCTTCTGGCACGTCCCCTACTGGGGTCAAGCCCACAACCCGGGCATGTGCCCAGACTGGGAATCGAACTGTGACCTCCTGGTTCATAGGTTGACACTCAACCACTGAGCCATGCCAGCTGGGCAAAGTTTGAACGCCTCTAATTGCCAAGGGGGTGGGGGTGGGGGCACGGCTGGTGGGCATGTAGGGGGGCCTGCCGGCTTCAGCTCCTCTTCACTGCCAACAGGTGGTTTATAAATCAAGGTCCCATAAGCCAGGCCAGGCACCTCCCAAAGGGAAGGTCAGGGGCAAAGAGCCTCTAGGGACCGGCTGGTCCACCTCCCCTCCCGCCACTCACAGGCAGGGACACAGGCACGTGAGGCCGTGGACACAGTGCCCACCTGTGCCACTCGCAGCTCAAGTGTGAAAACTTCCTCCAGAGGAGAACTGAGCGAGAATGACCTTCCCACTTAGCAGCCGGAGGGCTCTGGGGGGAAGGGAGCAGTTCCCCGGCACAGCAGGCCAGGGCCACGCCCCGGTGCCCAGCACTCACAGGATTTCTTCCAGGGCCGGGCAGAGCATGAAGCTGGCAGCGAGGAGCTTGGCAGCCTGGTCGTCGATCTCACAGGAAACCAGGCTGGGGAAAGAGCGGGACGGGGTGGAGGTGTCTGAGTCGGGCAGCTCCCCAGCCCCTTCCCCCTGCTGTGCCCGGAGCAGGAGGGAGCGGAGTAGCCAGAGGCTGGGCATGTGGGAGTCTTAGAAAAGTGTCCCCTTTGGTCCCAGGCTCCCCCGGACCTGAGGCCTCTGTCGCTTCAAAGGCTTTCCCGCCCGGCTGGTGTGGCTCAGTGGTTGAGCATCGACCCATGAGCCGAGAGGCCACCAGCTCCATTCCCAGTCAGGGCACATGCCCGGGTTGCAGTTTCGATCCCCAGGAGGGGGCGTGCAGGAGGCAGCAGAATGATGTCTCTCTCATCGATGTTTCTCTCTATCTCTCTCTCACTCTCTCTCTCTCTCTCTCTCTCTCTCTCTCTCTCTCTCTCTCCTCTAAAAAAAAATCAATGGAAAAAATATCCTCAGGTGAAGATTAAAACACATTCATGCACTGAAGGGGGGTTCCCTCAGCCCGGCCTGCCCCCTCTCACAGTCCAGAAGCCCTCAGGGGCGGGAGGCGACCCAGCAATCAGGGGAAGGCAATGCCCCATCACACCCCCTGACGGAAGTGGGGGACCTGTCCGGCCAGGGTGTTCTCTGCCAAGCTGAGGGGCAGAGACACTGTGAGAGGAGCCCCCAGACGCCCCCTCCCGTCCCCGTGCCCAGGCTCCACGGCGCCCACTCACCTGATCTCTTCCAAATGCGGGCATCCGTCCAGGGCCCGGCCCAGGCTCAGCGCCCCCTCTGGGCCCAGACGGCTGGACCGCAGGCTGGGGAAAGGGGAGGGGGAAGGGGAGTCTTGGGGAACCATGTGGGGGCTGGGGGGCTGGATCCCCACTCACAGCCTTGTCTCAGGCTATACCGCCAGACCTCAGACGGTCTCGGGGTAACAGCCATCCCCAGCCACACAGGACCCAGGACGTATCAAGGACCCTGGCTTTGGAGTCCGAGATCCCAAGTTCAAGGCCTGGCTCCATGTGTTAGGAAGGTAAGCTCTCTACCCCTCTCCTGCTTGCAGTTCTGCTGCCTGGAAATGTAGCAAATAAAGCCCCAGCCCCACAGGGCCACTGCGAGGCTCAGGGAGACCGTGGACACACACGGTAGCGTGCTGGGCCGTGCGCTGGATGCTCTTCTCCCGCACGGCCCTCTGCTGACACGTCCTGGCTCACCCTCAGAGATGGGCTCAGGAGCCTTGTAACTCTTTTGCAGATGAGGAAACAGACTCAGAGGGACAGGGCCCGGCCATGGGCACACAGGGGCAGAGGCCGTGGACTAGGCTCCCCAGACTCCAGAGGCGGGGGAGGAGCCGGCGGGAGAGCGGGCAGCCAGCCCAGTACATGCCAGTTTGCCCAAAGGCAGGGCAGCTCAAGGGACGAGGATCCTGACCCCCACGCGCTCATGGAGGAGCCCCGCCCACTAGCCCGGCGCACACCACAGGCGGGGACACTCACTGTAGGACTCTCAGGTGTGGGGGCAGCGCCCGGGCCAGCTCCAGGGCTGTGGGGTCCCCCAGGGCATTGCAGCCGAGCCTGGAGGAAGAGAAGGGATGAGGCTGAGCACCTGGCTGGATGCCTCAGACCCCGGCCCTGCACCTCCCGGGGGAGATGAGGGCCAGGTGGGCCTTGGGGACCCAGAGGGCGGAGGCCAGTCCCCCTGGGCACACACTCACATCAGCTCCTCCAGGTGCTTGCAAAGGGCGAGGGACTCCACCAACCGCACTCCCCCAGCCGGGCAGATGCCATTCGCTGAGAGGCTGTGGAGGGAGGGGGGCAGACATCAGACCCTCGGACCCCCCATTTCCTCCCACCCCCCATCTCCTGGGGCCC